ACCGGTAAGGAGCAGTTGCTGCCCATGTCTGTGATTCATCTGCTACAGAGAGTAAAACATTTTCACAACAGTGTAGGCAGCCGGGCATGATGGGCTAACAATAGGTTCTAAAAAGATTAATACATTTAAGAGCCAATCCCCTTCACATTGCCACCCAGGCACTCCATGCATGCTCTAATCCGCATGTGGGAGTTTCCCATCACCAGCCCCTCGTTTTGGCAGAGTTCCTACAGGAGAAGAGCTGTGTTTTTCAGACAGAACAGTGTCCCTAACAGTGAGGGTAAGAGAACACCTGAACTGGGCTCAAAGTCCTTTGTTGTTTGGGTACACCCAGCAAAGATGGTATATAGCCACTCGAACTGTAGAGGTCATTTGCAACAGCCATTCCTCTAGGCCAGGGTTCAAAAGGACCTATTAAATTGGTTATAATGACCATAAAGAACTATAGGGTCTGCTATCCTTTAATAATGATTTGACGCTCAATGCAAGATCTCAGAGACATCTTGCAAAAATGTAGGAAAAGACACCACCTCCCTGCCTGGGCAGCAAGCGTGCGCACAGGTGGGCGGGGAACGGCAGCATGGGCTGGATGGAAGGCTATGGCGGGCCGGATCCGTCCCGTGGGCCATAGTTTGAGGACCCATGCAGTAGGCTACGGGAGGCACAAGTTGCTGAGCCATTCTATCAGCCAGGCTGTAGACCGCATCCATTTGATTCCTTCTTCCCTGAACCAGCAGTCCAAGAACAACTATGTAACGGAAAGGTCTAGCAAAAGGGTTCCTCTATTTCACTCTTCTCGAGGAGCCAGAGAAGCATAGAAGTATTTCAGATAAATAAAGGAACAATTCTCTGGTCCATGGAAAGAACCACACTGGTTGGCTACCAAGGTTGAGAACTTGAACTTGGAAGGTGAAAAGGGAAGCATTTCAGGGTGGGGTGGAGGAATCAGGATGCATGCCATCCGGGTTCTCCTCCAGCAGTCTTCCTTCCTCTTCCAAAACAGGTTTGCACCTGTCTAGGAAAAAATGCAGGGCAGAGGACGGTTAGGCAAAGATTGTATCTTCTGTTCCTCCCTTTTTGCATGGGTTGATCGTCAGCCCCTGACTTCAGGGCCTTACAGACATCAAGGGGGCAACACACAGGATTGTATCCTATTTTGTTCACTAGAATAGGAATAACTTTACATGTAATACAGCTTCATGGGTACACCAGTGCTCCATGTGTTCATTATTTTACACTTAAGACATAAAATTGGGTAGTACAGCAGCAATTTGACCAATGGATCAACCTGGGTTACAGCAGCACAATCTTAGGTGTTGCTAATGCAGGACCAAACTGAGTGGCAGAAAAAAGCATTTAACAGGGAAACAGTGCTGGAGCGTATCTGATTCATGGGGCTGCAAAGATCTGCAATGGTACAGAGGGAATGGGAGTGCTCCTCGCCCCAGAGGTTTCACTTGAAGCTCAGGTAACAGCTGTGGTGAGGAGCACTTTCTTTCAGCTTCGGCTGATCCATCAGCTGTGTCCCTACCTAGAAAACGACTGCCTGGCGACAGTGACACATGCGTTGGTAACTTCCTGACTAGACTTCTGTAACGCGCTCTACGTGGGCCTGCCCTTGAAGACGGTCCAGATACTTCAGTTGGTTCAAAATAGAGCTGCCAGGCTGCTGACGGGGACTGGGCGTTATGTTCACATGACTCCAGTCCTCCGTCAGCTTCACTGGCTCCCCAGTGAAGTCCGGGCCCAATTCAAGGTGTTGGTTATTACATACAAAGCCCTTAACGGCTTGGGTCCTGGTTACCTAAAGGAGCGCTTACGTCCATATGTGCCCTCCTGCCCCTTGAGATCAGCGGGAGAGGCCCTTCTCCGGGAACCCTCCGTGAAGGACATTAGGAGGGTAGGTACCTGGAGGAGGACTTTCTCTGCGGTGGCGCCCAATCTATGGAATGCACTCCCCAGAGAGGTCCACCTGGCGCTGTCGTTATTTGCTTTTTAGTGCCAGGCCAAGACCTTTTTATTTAAACGTCATTTTAATTTTTAACATTATTTATTGATTTTATATCTTTGGCCAGGACGTCTCCAATTACATTGTTTTATATGGTTAATGTTTATTTATCGTTGTGAGCCGCCCTGAGGCTTCAGCGAATGGGGTGGCATAGAAGCTTGCTAAATAAATAAATAAATGTTTTATGGTATTAAGAGAAAAGGGATTGTAATGCTGGTGATACTGAAAAAAGGGAGCAATGTTGAGATGATGTTATAGAAACCCATGATCTGAAACAGAGCATATATTTCTTATGAGCTCCTTACCACACACAAGGAAAATCCCAATGGAGATTGGACCAGAAAGACAACCATCAGCCAGCCAACATTCAGTGTGCAAACATGGGCCACTTTTGGACTGTCATCTTCCATGTTAAGATTGTTTCCCCTAAAATTGTGGGGTTTTGTTTTGTTTTGTTTTTTAACAGAAGAAGCCAGCTTGGTATAGAGTGGTTGAAGAGTTGGACCGAGGCTGGAGAACCCTGGGTTCAAGGGCCCACTCAGCCAGTCACTGACCCTGAACCTAACCTGCCTCACAGCATCATCAGGTGCACCACCTTGGCTTCCTTAGAGGAAAGAGTGAGGTTTAGACTAAAGAAAAATGTTGTAATTGTAAAAATAGGATAATTGCCCTCAGAGTGATTTTGAATGGGGGTATCCTTGATTTAGCTCTTCACACACAAATATCACAGAGACCACAGTGTTAAGATTGATGCAATGACACAGTCTCGAATATCTTAATGCAACAATTGTCCTTTGTGTTGAAAAGAATTTTAACATCTTACGTGAATATTTTTAAAGTGCTGGACAAGGCTAGAGGGAAAGTATCTATGCTTATGTTGAATATGCTTCAGAGAAGATGAAGCTTGGAAGGTGTACTTTAAAACTTTTAAAGAAGCTTGGAAGGTGTACTTTAAAACTTTTAAAGAAACAGTACTTTAAAATATAGCATGGACAACCGAAAACAGTACAAGCTAGCAAATTTCTAGAAAGCCATGTCTTAAAACATATTTTGCTTTGTGGAAAACCATCTGCAACCATCTTTGATTCTATTGAAAATTCAGTTATTTGCATAGACATTAGGCTTCAACTCAGGGCTTCTAGTAAGAGAAAAAGCACAAAATCTAGATTTGTGTATCTTCCTCTGCAAAAATATTGATATTGTAGATATAACCTGGCATTTTCAGCCTACATCAGATAAAAAGTATTAGGCAGCTGTTGCCACTGTAGAGCACAGATGACGATGAAATTAATCAGACATTAGGGAAATCCCTATCTACAAATAACTTAAAATGACGAGATATGGACAAGTTTAAAACTTAGAAAATGTCACAGGATTAAGCAATTTGTAGGTGTGGGTGGCACATCACTATTAATGCATCTCAGTTTCAGGTTGCAATCCTATACAGTTACTTTGGCATAATACAATCAAACTTAATGACACATACTTCTGAGTTGTCATACTTAGGCTTGTGCAGTTGGCATCCAAGAAGCACAGAAATGCCTGTTGCTGTTGTGGTCATTTAATACATTAATCACTCAGAAAGTTAATTATTTATTTCCCATTCAGAAAGGTAATTTTTTGCTTCTTAGCAATTTGACTTAGGGCACAATCTTATACCCTTTGGTATCTTCCATGGCGGACAGGAAAGTTCTACTAGCTGGGGAATGTTAGGAGCTGTAGAACTGTCTTTCTGCCTAAGCATGCATAGGATTGTTCCTGTGAGATTAAAGTTCCTAGAATAAGTTTAGTAACAATGACAGGAAAATTCATTTTTCAAAGAAGTACGGTGTAGCCAAGATGTTCAAATCAATCATGGAGTCTAAATTATAAATTGTCATATTGTTTGGAATGAGAGATATATAATCTGGAATTTACTGGATGTCCATTACTGGAAAAATACTGGAAACCTAGCAGTACATGTTTTACCAGTCTGAGCGGTAAGAGACAAGCTGTTTGGCAACCATAATCCAGTTCAAAGCGCTGGAAGTGCAAACTTTTAAGCTATAGAGAAACGATCGGAAACAAAGTTTTATCATCCCCAGTTTATTGCCATATACATGCATTCCTCCTAAACTCAACATTTTCAGTGGTTGTAGTCTTCCAATGAGTAACTGAACGCACCATGGCAAGCAACGGATGGAAGGAAAAAAACTACCAAAAAAAAAAAGGCAAGCCGAGGCTTTTATTTTATATTATTTTCTTGCCCCACACATGGTGTCGCTCACACGGATACCGGAAATAAAAGTTGAGAGCTAGTGTGGTGCTCTTTCCTATCTCTATGGCGGCAACAGCAACAGCGGCGGCAGCAGATGTAGAGATAATTCCAATTCACTTGTAGTATGAACGTCGCATAAATACGGGAAATCGCCCATGTGCGACCAGAACAATCGTTCTATCTCTTAGTGTCTCTATGGTCAAGCTCCGCCCTCTTACCCCCCCTTTCCCTCCCTATATATTTCGAGCGGGAAGGTGGTTCAGTCTGTTCTAGGAAGTACTAGTAACGATCGCGGCTTGTCTCTATGGCTGCATTCCACATCGCAGCTACAGCTCAGGCATTTTGGCACCACCGCGAGGCTTCCGCCTTGGTAGGTGTCATAGTGACAGGAAGGCGGAAAAAGTAGGAGGGAGGAGGAAGAGAAGGAACACGTCTCGCTCATTCTCGCGGTGCTTCGCCTGCCCTCCCCGTCTCGGCCTCCCCCTTTCGCTGGCCGCTCGCGCAGCTGCTCGGCACTCGCTATATAAAGGGGCGAAGCGAGCAGAGCGGGCGGCTGGCGGCTGCAGCCCAAGGGCCGCCGAGTGGGGCCGGGCCGCGGGCGGCGTCTATTCCTTCTCCTTCCTCGCGCTCCCGTGAGCGGCGGGCGGGCTAGCGTGGCTGAGGGGGGCAACCCCTGAGGCGAGACGGGGGCGCGGAGGAGGAGAACGGGGGAGGGGGACTGTACTTTGCCTCAGCTCGCTCTTGCCTGAGGGGGGCGGGAGGTCTCGGGGACTGCCCCAGCCACTGCCCGCTCTGCCTCGGCCGCCGCCGCCGCCGCCGCTGGGGGTGTGTGTCCTGCCCGGGGGTGGCGCGGGACATGGCGAGCTCGGCTAATACAAACCCCGTGGTAAGGATGAGGGCCGCGCAAGGGCTGCTTCAAGGGGAGGGAGGCGGGCGGGAGGCCGCTCGGCTCGGGAGGTGGCGGGTGAAGGGGAACCGCGGGGCGGCGGCAGACCCTCGCCGGCCTCCGCCCGTCCCTGTGGGCCGGCGGCGGCGGGAGAGGGCAGGGTGGGGCGACCTCTGAGCCGTCCTCGGCGCGCTGCTGCCCCGGGAAGCCACGGAGGAGCCGCCGCCGCCGCCGCCGGGTCTGGAGGGAGCCCGCTTCGCTCCTCGCCTGGGGGGTGGGGAGATGCCGGAGCGGCGGGCTCGGGTGCCGCAGCCGCCCCGCGCCTCTCTCCAGTCTTGAGTCGGGTGGCGGGGAGAGGTCTGTGCTTGTGTCAGTTTGTTCTTAGTCGCTTTTTAAAAAAATAATGTTACGTTGAAGTGGAAGCCAGACGCGGAGCCTCTTTTGGTAAAATCTATATATCGATGACGGAAGGTTGACAAGCACTTTTATTTCTCAGCCCGGCAGAAAATATGTCTTCTCCTCCCCTCGCCTGCCTCTCTTGGTCAGCTCGAGCTTTCCTCAGAAAGCCCTTTTCACCATTATTAATTGCTCCCTCTTTTTCCCGCCTCTTTTTCTATGCTTTCCCCATCGGCTACTAGTCGACACGGTCTCCGGCTCTCTGTTTCACATCGTTTTGCAATAAGCAGTCACACGAGAGAGAAAAAAATGCCCCTCCCCAGGCTTTTTATCACGATTTTCCAGCTCTATGTTTTAAAAAACCAACGGAATGTACTCAAAATTATACGCAACACCCCGCCTCCCCAAATAAACCGCTGCTGACAAACCCGGAGTCCAGGCGGCTCCGCTGCAGATTGGCCGCTCTTATTTTGTGCTCTGAGATCCATCATGGCTTCCCTCTGCTTTTCTCTCTCCCTGCTCCTTGTGTTCCTCCTCCCTGTGGCTGCCCTGTTTATATAGAGCCATTGCCGCTCTCTAATATAGACTCTGCCAGGATGGGAAGGTGCTTTCCAGCCCCACGTCACCGCCTCTCCATTTAAACACCACATCAGCCTTTAAATAGGGAGAGAGCCGCGGAAAGCAGGCTGGGAGGTGCCTGTACTGCACAGGCACAGCCTGAAAGGCGCTCTCTTTGTCACTGGGAAGCTGCTGCTGCTACTCCTAGCTCTCAAATTCGAGTTGCTGAGGCTGTCAGTGACAAAGTGCCTGGCGTTCTGTTAGTGATATTTGGTGATGTTGTTTGTGGCTTATGCTTTCCTCTTATATATTACGCAAAATAAGCACCAATTTTCCTTCCTCATTTAAAGAAGCACACTTAAGAATTTTGTTCTGTGTGTTTACTTAGAAGTAAGTGCGCTCCATGAGGCTTGCTAGGTGAACTTAGAATTGGCAGTCTTCCACAATGAATGAATATTTAAAAGGTTTTTGTATGCATACTCATAAGAAGACAAAATTCAAAGACAAAAATTTTGTTTTATCTTCCCTTAACTACTATCTGTACTTGAAAGTGCAATTGAGAAACATAGCTTTGTCCTGAAATATCTAGATGCAGTGCTGATTCAAAGGTTAGTGAAGTGCAAGTAGTTGAATATCCTGAGATACTGTCCCAGTTAAAATCAGTATCACTAATCTGTTCTAAATCTTGCTACTTCAGTTTAAGTAAATTGTGACTTGAGACTTTAGTCCAATGAATATTAACATGACTGGATTAAATTAGAGCAGAGTACCTTGATTTAACTTGTGGGTCAAGTTTGTTAAATTTGAAATGGTAAGAACTTAGATTGTATTTTGGGAGTAACACTGCTAATATGAAAAGTAGTAGAAATACTTGGCATATAAGAATTGGCACAGTGGTTCAAAATATATCAGATATATTCATGCTGGAAGTGCTAAGATCCTACTGGATAGTAATAATTAACTTTGATAACGTTTAAAATTAATTCTTTTAATAAGCTGATGTAGATGCTTCTACAAAGTGTATCTTTATACAAAGTATATCAGAAATTTAGCAGGTCTTTAGCATAAAAATACAAAATGTTCTGAAATATTATCATAGATCTACTTTCACAAGTGGCTCTTATTTGTTACTTTTCAAGCCTAAACTGTATAGGTCTGTGATTGAAGATGTAATTAATGATGTCCGAGAAGTCTTTCTGAATGATAGTGTTGATGAGCAAGTCCTTGTGGAACTAAAAACAGTAAGTGATGTTTACTGAAATAACTTACATTGTTACCATGTAACAGCCTATAAAATTGTCAGTCTTACTGTGTATATAGCACTATATTTAAAACATTTTACATAATTTGCTAGAACACTTAAAGCACACTAATGAAAGTCATTGCTATCACTGCATTGCAGGTAACCTATAGCTACACTTTAACATAGCATGATACCCTCACTTCAGTCAGGAGAGCCAGTGTGGTGTAGTGGTTAAGAGCATGGGACTGGGACTCAGACGATCCGGGTTCTAGTCCCCACTCAGCCATGGAGCCAACTGGGTGACTTTGGGCCAGTCACAGACTTTCAGCCCAACCTACCTCACAGGGTTGTTGTTGTGGGGATAAGATGGAGGAGGAGAATGATGTAAGCTGCCTTGAGCCCTTTGTAGGAAAAAGGCAGGATATGAATCGATAAATGAATGAATAAATGATTAGCCTCACTGGTATCCCGGGGAACACTGAGCAGAAAGAGAATGAGAATGACAGCTGCTACAAAGTACCCAAGTAGCATATGTAGGCAGCTATCAGAAGTTCCTCACTGCTGATCTGTACCAAAAGAGGTTATTTGGGAGCCCTCACTGCCAGGGCCATTCAGTGAGGGCCTGAAGAACATGCCTTCTTGGTATGAGGATTGCCCCATGGGGTGAACAGAATGCTGGGTGGAGAGTCACATTCTCCCAAGTAGACATGGGGGAATGCACCTCCTCCCCTAATGGTTGGAAGATGAGAGCATTTGTTTTCTCCCAGGTCTACAAGTACCTGGGAGTAATCCAGAAGAATGCAATATTTACTGCTTGATTGGCAGTAGTGTAGGGGTCATGAACTGGTGTGTATGGCATTGACATGAAGAGGACCCTGCTGCATTTTGCCTCTCCAAGCCCTGAGTGATAGTGACAGCCACTTTTAAGTGCCACTGGGCACTTTGCAGCAGCTGTTCATTTGCAGTCACTTGTGGTGCTTGCTACACCATGGGTTCTGTTACCCAGGTTTGGATGGCATGGCAACTAACAGAATTAACCCTATGACAAGCCATGGCTTTACAGGGTTTCTTGTAAGCTAAAGTTAAGCCATCCTGATACTACTATTCTGGATTCAGAGAACATATTAAGCCACTGTGGCCCTGAAGCCATAGCAGCTTAATTTGTTTATGAACCCAATCCGATTTGCCAGAGTTCAAGATTAGTAAGTTTCAACAGTGAGGTGACATTTGAAGTGGTGCGTCTTTGCTGCAATGGTACATAAGCTCAGCAAAGTTTTGTGTGTGGTTTTGATATTTGAATTGACATGTATCTTGTGGCTTTCATAATTTTGGTAATGACATCTTCTTTCAGGCTACACTAATAATATAAACAACACTGACATATCATGAACAGTCCCCAGCACTGCCTTTGCACTAGCAACAGCTATGTTAATGTATTTGAAATGTAGCTGTCCCCAAAACAGTCAGACAAACAATATTTCAGTAACCTAACCATCTGTAATAGGACAACCAGAGGAAAGACAACTAGAATATTCTAGCCATATCAATATTTGTAGTATTTTTTTAAAGCATTTTCTTCTGGGAGAGAAGAGTGTTGTATATCTGCTTTTTTGGCTTGTGCAGAATATGCTGCTTATGGAACTAGAACTGACTGGGCTTTTCTGTAATGCTTGCATTTTGCATAGGACATGACCCATTTATTTAGTTAATGCATAGCTAACACTAGATATATGAATAAGAGGGATGGCAGCACATGCCAACTACAGCTTCCATGTGCTGAACAGGAAAGTCTGCGTGGGGCTTATGTTGGTTTCTGTGTGAGTAGAAGTCCCCAGATAACACCAAATCCTGCTTTCCCAGGGTTCCTGATAATACAAAGGGGTCTACTCATATTAAGGTGTACATTAGTAGAAGCCCACTGCAGTCTTTCTCAACACAGACTGGGGAAAGGCTGGAAAGATGTTAAGGCGGAGCCAGTGTGCATGGCACATCCCTCTTACACATATACATAGAAACTTTATAATGATTGAATATGGCGGCTATCAGTGCATCCCTATTCAATTCTTATGCAGTGCATGAATGTAGAATAGAAACAAATAGGCACTAAACTGGCTGGCTGGCTTACTTTTTAAAGTAACTAATCTCCCCTAAAGAAATCAGAAGTTGAATAAGTCAGTGGGTCATTAGTGATAATGCAAGGTATATTAGGTGCTGTTTTTAAAAAGTGGTTAAGAGAATCCTCTTCAAACACAGCTGTGGGAAAACAAACTGCTGCAGTCCAAGGCTGTAGATGGATTTCATTCAGAGGAACAGCAGCTTTTGTTGCAAGTGCAGCAGCAGCAGCAACAGCAACAGCAGCATTCTCATCACCATCACCCACAGCCACAGCCAGCAGTTCAGCAGCAGTCCCAGGCACAACAAGTCCTTATTCCTGCAACCCAGCAAGGTAAGAACAAAGCTCCTTTGCTTATCTCTAGGAATTCTATTACTACAGCAGTGTTTCATACAAATAAAACCTAATAGTAGCACTAAGTCCAACCCTTTTATTCCTATTAACATTTTGCTTCTGTGGCATCATCTTCTCACTGCAAGTACCCATTTTGAATTATTCATCATAAAATGAAATAGCATATGCCTATAGTGCAACAAAAGACTTAATAAAGAAGCAAATGTTAGTAAACAAAACATTGATTTGAAAATGACAGTCTTCTGTTTTTTTAAACCAGGGGTTCCCAAGCTGGGGTGCAAGATGGCATTTCAGGGGGTGAGACCAAGAGGAAGACTGTATTTGCAAATTGCTACCTTTTTTCACCAAAAATTATACCAATAACAAAATTATTTTGTTTGCATTTGGATTCAGTTCTCTTTTGTCAATCAAGACAAAATCTAGGAAATGCCTGAATTCACAGGCAGACTTGCAGATCTCAATCAAGATGAAGGTTCCACATTTTGACAGAATCGTGAATGAGAAGCAGGAACAAGGAAGTCATTGAATTTTATGGTCACAATTGGGATTGATTTGACTCATTCTTTCCTATATTTTCCCTCAATTTATACAGTGATACCTTGGCTCATGAACTCCTCAGTTCACAACCAAATCGGGTCGCGAACAACAATTTCATTAAAAAATTGACTCAGGTCGCGAACTCTGCATCAGGTGGCGACCGCAATTGTGGCCATCTCCCCACCCCCATCCCCAAGTGGGGAGATGGCTGTGATTGTGCTGGGGGCAGCGGGGGGGGGGGGGAGATGGCCGAGATAGCGCCCATCTTTCCTGCACAACTGCAATCTCTGCCATCTCCTTCCCAGTATGATTGCACCCGTCTCCCGCCTGAGCACGCCCGGGTTCGCACCGATTTTCCCCACCCAATGTGCCCACATTCACACCCATCTCTTCCCCCCCAGCGCACCCACGTTTGCGCCAGTCTCTCCTCCCCCAGCGCACCATGAGAGTAACATGTAGTGAGAAGAGGCCAAACCATTCCCTAAATATAAATCCTCTCCCACAGTACTGCTATTCACCCTGCAGGGAGAAAACAGGCACAGCATCCCCCCTCCCCCAGCAAAGCTAATAGCAACTTCAGGTACTGAGTATTTTACACTGAAGAACAGTTAAACACTCTGAGTGCCACTTCTGTGATATTCCACATATTAAACATAAAACTATGTTTAATTTGGATGTCAGGAAATATTTCCTGATAGGACCCCAAGTGTATGGAATGGGCTTCCACAGGAGGTGGTTGAAGCCCATCAGTGAGGGTGTTCAAGGATAGGCTGGATTTGCACATGGGTAAGCATGTCATGAGCGGAGCCAGCTGGAGCCGGGGGTCAGACTAGATGGCCCATGAGACCCCTTCTGACTTGCTCTGTTTTTATGGTTCTATGACATCTAATTTAGGCCTCACTTAAAAACACCAGACAGAAGAAATGGACTTAATTCAGCATGTGACTTGCTTCCTAGGAATGCCTGGATACAAAGAATGTATGATAAGTTAATTCAGTCTGTGAAATATATGGAATTAAATGAAATACAACATTCATATCTAACTCTGAACTACCTAAAGAGTTTCAGCTTGGGTGGTATAGAAATGCAAGAAATAACTATACTATAGGTGTGGTTTTGCTGGTTAGGCTGTATTCCAATGTGTACTTGTGGGTCTGTCAAACTGGAAGCCTGTCAAACAGTAGCAATCATGCCCAGTACAGGCCAGCAGCATCATATGCTGCTGCTCCTCTTTGATACCATTTTAGGTCTTTGACTTATGCTGCTTGGTATATTGTAGTGGGTATGAACTTTCCCATTAAGTAAAGGCTATATACTTAAACTCATTTCTCTGTGTAAGCACAAAGCAGAAGAATGATGTGTGATAACTGTCATTCAGTTTTTCAGCACTTCCAAGTGAAACATTGTTGTACTGATTATGTTTTTGGTGTCAGTGTTTATAATATGGGTTGTGATATAAAAGAGAGAACTTTTTTTAAAGAGAACACATTGTAATGTTAATACTAAGTCATGACCAAGTATTCTGTAGTGATCCCAGCACTAAGTAATTTTTCTGCTGTGTTGTAGCACCTCAACAGCAAGTTATTGTGCCTGATTCCAAATTGATACAGCACATGAATGCATCAGGCATGGTAAGTTATTCAATTTGTAATAACTTTTAGTGAGGGATATTCAACCTTTAAGTGCATGTTGTTTTTCTTCTTTGTTCAAATGGCTCTCAAATTCCTCTTCCCTCTCTGACATTAGAAGAAAAAAAAAAGCTGACAAATGGGAGAAGACTGTCAACATTCTAGTGTACATGAAATGGACCACCAAACTCTGCTCTGCTTCACGAGCTGAGTTTTCACTTTAAATGTGTTATTTTCTATAGCTGACTTCCATTTCTTGTTCCTTGTTTTTCAGAGTGCTGCTGCTACTGCAGCCACCTTGGCTTTGCCTGCTGGTGTTACTCCTGTTCAGCAGATAATCACAAATTCAGGTATTTCTTTGGTTTTCCCCCCTTTTTGAGATGCATTTTCATGCTGATGCAAAATGGAAAGTCTAAAATATTATCTCAAATATTCTGCCATGAAAAGCAGCCTATAAATATTGCAAATAAATAAAATTAAAGCTAAAGTTAAAACCAGAAATTCCAGTAAAAGTGCTGATATATAATAGCATGGAAGTTGTACAATAGCTGGAAAGTCTTTGCCAGCTTCTGGAAGGGTGATGGAAAAAGACAAAGAAGGCCATTTCAAAGTTTTGGAATTTTTCTAGAAAGGTAGTTGTGTAGTTTCCAAAAATAAGGTATTTTCAATATGACATTTTCATTGCAGATTTTAAATTTCAGGGAGTGGAGGGGGTTGGCATATCTGAAACAAACTTTTTTAAGATAACCAGAACCCACTGCATACTTGGAAAAGCATTTAATACTGAACTTAAAAACAAACTGGCAGTAAATGCAAATGTCCCCAGTCAAGGTGTAATTTATTTATTTATTTATTTATTTAGAAGGCTTCTATGCCGCCCCATTTGCCGAAGCCTTGAGGTGGCTCTCAATAATAAATAAGCGCAGTATAAAACAATATAATATGAGTCGACCTGGCCCGAAAAAATAAATAAATAATATTAACAATTAAAATAATGTTTGAATAAAAATGGTCTTTGCCTAGCGCCAAAAAACAAATAACGACAGCGCCAGTCAGACCTCTCTGGGGAGCGCATTCCATAGATTGGGCGCCGCCGCAGAGAAAGCCCTCCTCCGAGTACTTACCCTCCTATTATCCTTCACGGAGGGTTCCCGGAGAAGGGCCTCTCCTGCTGATCTCAAGGGGCGGGTGGGCATATATGGACATAAGCGTTCCTTCAGGTAACCAGGACCCAAGCCATTAAGGGCTTTATAGGTCATAACCAACACCTTGAATTGGGCCCGGACTTCACTGGGGAGCCAGTGAAGCTGATGGAGAACTGGAGTCATGTGAACATAATGCCCAGTCCCCATCAGCAGCCTGGCAGCTCTATTTTGAACCAACTGAAGTATCCAGACCATCTTCAAGGGCAGCCCCACGTAGAGCGCATTACAGAAATCTAGTCGGGAAGTCACCAACACATGTGTCAGTGTCGCCAGGCAGTTGTTCTCCAGGTAGGGACACAGCTGATGGATCAGCCAAAGCTGAAAGAAAGCGCTCCTCACCACCGCTGTTACCTGATCTTCCAGTGAAAGCTCTGGGTTGAGGAGCACTCCCAAGCTGCAGACCTTGTCTCTAAGAGGGAGTGCAACCCCATTCAGGACTAGGTTCAGGTCCCCTTCCCCAAAGCCCGATCCGCCAACCAACAGGACCTCCGTCTTGTCTGGATGTACATGTGTTGACTTGTACTCAACATTAGTTATGCAGTGATATTCTGTACTAACACTTGAGTTGCCTCTGGAATAAACCGTGCATTACAGTATTCAAGTATGAATTATAAAAGCCAGTCTCTTACAACAAACAGTGTCACTGGCACATCTGCATAAGCTAGTCAAACATCCTTGTCCCACAGCTACTACCTTGGAGCCCAAGAATGACCTTAGGTTGCAATCCTGTGTCTTTAGGAAGAGATAAGCTGATTTCTGCCTTCTACTCTCTGTAGACTGGGTTCCACCACACTAGTAGTCATGATGACATAAGTAAACAGTAGTTTGTGCTGTCTAAACCCAGCCTAAATTTTTAAAAAACACATTCCCCCTATATATCTCAGTTTGTTGCAGATTTTTTTTGAGAAGAGACAGCATTATTTGAAATATTAAAATGAATTATTTTCATTACAGGCCAAATACTACAGGTGGTTAGAACTGCCAATGGAGCTCAATACATCATTCAGCCCCAGCAGCAAGTGGTTCTACAGCAACAGGTTATACCACAGATGCAGCCTGGTGGAGTGCAGTCTCCTGTTATTCAGCAAGTAAGATATTTTGTTAAGTAAGGAAATCGGTTACTTTGCAGTGTTTGTCAGCAAGAATCTGCATTTTCTAGTATGTTCTACAGGTACCCCCTTATTTTAAAAAGGGAAAGAACAAAAACATGGATAGTGTGGAAGGTGGTATCTGGACTTATGACATACAGTGAATATTTTATTGCTTTGAAGATGCTCATAAGAGTTGAATTAATTTCAGTCAAGTCCAGAAATAAGGGCCTATAAAGATTAAAAATTGATGAAGGCTTTAAGGTGATGAATTATGCAAGAATTACTTGTTACTTAAGTATAGTTTTAGGCATGTATAACAGAACTAGCAGATCATTCCACTAATATCTCACTGCCACATAATGCAATGTCAAGTAATAAATGCAGTTGGGTTTGGGCACGGCCACAGTACTTTTCTCACAGTACCCCATTTATCTCATCTGTATTAAGAGAAAGGAAGCTCAGCACTGCTGACTAGAACTAGTTAAGCAAACATTTATACATAGTGGCTAGGAAATCTATTTCTGAATTTTTTAAAACAGTGTCTCTCCTGTAGCATTACTAGTCACTTTCTACAGTATCACCACATGATGCAAAAGAAAAATCAAAGAACCTTCCTTCAGTTTTCTCCCCTTACGTAATGTTAGTCACAAAGTCATGTCTGACCCATCACGACCCTATGGACAACATTCCTCCAGGCTCGCCTGTCCTCTACCATTCCCCAGAGTCCACCTAAGCTCACACCGGCTGCTTCGGTGACTCCAGTCTAGCCACCTCATCCTCTGCCATCCCCTTCTTCTTTTGCCATCAATTGTTCCCAGCATTAGGGTCTTCTCCAGTGAGTCTTTCCTTCTCATTAGGTGGCCAAAGTATTTGAGTTTCATCTTCAGGATCTGGCCTTCTAAAGAGCAGTCAGGGTTGATCTCCTCTAGGACTGACTGGTTTGATCGTCTTGCGGTCCAAGGGACTCGTAGGAGTCTCCTCCAGCACCACAATTCAAAGGCCTCAATTCTTCGGCGCTCAGCCTTCCTTATGGTCCAGCTTTCACAGCCATACATTGCAACTGGGAAAACCATAGCCTTGACTATACGAACTTTTATCAGCAGGGTGAGGTCTTTGCTTTTTAATATGCTTTCTAGATTTTCCATAGCTTTCCTCTCAAGGATGAAGCGTCTTTTGGTTGTTATCAAATTAGGCTATATTCAGATAAGTATTAAGTAGTTAATGATCACTGGAGAAGACAATAATGCTAGAGAAAGTTGAAAGTAGAAGAAGGGCAGGAAGACCAAATATGAGATTAATTGATTCTAGAAAGGAAGCCAAAGCCTTAAATATGGAAAGATTGAGCAGGGCTGTGAAGGACAGGACATTTTGGAAGCCATTCATTCATAGGGTTGCCATAGGCTGGAGACAACTTGACACCGTGTGACAAGAAGTTAATAATGAAGATTTCACTTGTACTTTTTTGCATAATTAAGTGGGTTATCGTGCTTTACTACGGATGCAAATACTGCAGGTAAAAACAAGGAACTATGATTTTCTTTCCATTATTTTTGGCTAGGTTTTGGCTCCCATTCCTGGTGGAATTTCACAGCAGACTGGAGTGATTATTCAGCCTCAGCAAATCTTATTTACAGGAAACAAAACGCAGGTCATACCTACAACAGTGGCTGCACCAACACCCCCACAAGCACAGATTCCTGCAACAGGTCAGCAACAACCTCAACAGCAACCGACACAGTCACAGGCACCTTTAGTGCTGCAGGTAGATGGAGCAGGTGACACATCATCTGAAGAAGATGAAGAAGAAGAAGAAGATTATGATGATGATGATGAAGAATACAAAGAAAAAGATGGAGGTGAAGATGGCCAAGTTGAAGAGGTAAATTGTGATACATCAGCTTCAAATAGTCCTTTGCAGCACTCACCTCTGTGTGTCTGTGTCCCAGTGTGTTAACTGAATTGGTTCTTCATAGTGAAAAGTCAAGAACTGTGCTTGTGGACAAACCATATATCCTATAGTGTGCTCATGTAGCCCATACACTGCCTGCCATATACACAGAGCGGGGAGATATGTGTATGCTCAGGGGTGCCCTGAGGCTTGTAGAAATGCAAAAATCACCCCCCCCCCCAAAAAAAATCCCTAAGAAGACCATCTCTCTCTAAAGCCCAATGAGAACTGAGTATGCTCAATGACCACAGAATGCTGACTCCCTGCTGGAGTGAAAGGGAATGGAAAGTGAGTGGGTGAGGCAGAATAGGATGGAATATTTGAAAACCTGAACAGCAGAAATCCACATTGCAAGGTTATGTTGCATGTCCCATCTCAAACTTGAGGTGCTAAGGTGTTGAAGTTGCTTTATTTAAATGATGTGTGGCTAGGTGATATTTGCAAATTAGCTGTGTTGGTGTGTAGAGCTTGTATATAAACATGTAAGCTTTAATTAATTTGAACTCCTGATTATTCTAAACTTTTCTAGGAGCCTCTCAATAGTGAAGATGATGTGAGTGATGAAGAAGGGCAGGAACTATTTGACACAGAGAATGTTGTTGTATGCCAGTATGACAAGGTAATCAGAAATTGTTTCCTAAAACTTGAATGTGCCCTTAATTGACCATTAATTATGTGTTCTGCAAACAACAACTTAAGAGCAGGATGTGCACATTTCTTTCCAGTTTAAATTAATACTTGCAAAGTCTTTTTTTAGTGTTTTTCAATAAATTGAGCTTCAACTTTTAGTCTAGACATTCAGAGTAGGGATTTATGTTGAAAACCTTTCTCAATTAAAAAGTTGACCTCAATTTGACATCCTTTTCAAGTGGAAGTTTGGGCTCTGTCTAACTTAGTGTCATGTTATGTCCATGTACACCAAAAGAGTTCCCCTTCCTCTCTTTCCCCACTGTCATCTGCTCTGAAATTTAGGTGCTAAATTTTCTAGTGCAGAGGTGAAGAAGAAAATGTTCAACCAGCATTATACTTTCTTCTGGCAGACACCACCAATATAATTCTCTTTTTATTAGAAGTACTAATAAATGCCATAGGCAACTGGAACCATTTTAGAATGGGAGTGCTTCTTCTACAATGGAACCTGACATGTAAAACATGTCTTTTTCTTAAACTATTTAATTCAAAATGTCTATTTAAGAGACTGTAAAAAATAATTGGCTAATAAGTTGTGTGTTTGGTTCTTGAAATGTTAAATCTGGCCCTGGTGACTTATGTCTTCATAACCATAATCCAACTGAGATGTAAACACATTTTATATGGGGCTAAATATTAAAGGCTTAAATGACTTCAGGTCTGGCTACATCTTCTCCAGTATGAGTTTGCCCATATATTAGATCCCATTTACATTCCACTGACATCGAAGACATGGTTGGAATGCAGGAGAGGAGCATCTTGGTTGTTCGACCAAGACTCTGTTGCTTCCTGTCCGTGGAGGCCTGTTTTGGTGGCCTTCCTATGGACTTCTGCTAAATGATGGAAGACCTTCCTCTTCTGACATGTATAGTTGATTATTTCTTTACCTTGCTGGATTATTTTATAATCTAAAGATTTTGAGATTTAAATGGGTGCTGTTACAATTTCTCTCTAGTTTGAGACACAATTTTACTGTGTGTTAATTGTATTTTTGTGATGTATTATAGTTAGCTATATTGAGCATAAAATATAGACAGTCTGGATAATATTGTAAAATAAAAAATGTTTCAATACCTTGGAAATATTTGCCCTGTATCAGACTAAGTCAGGCAATAATGGCCCTCACTCCAGGGACATTCATTTAGAATGAACTTGCCTAGTGGAAATACTTGCCAACAGTTCCTTATTTATAAAAAAAAGTACTTTTTGTAATTATTTTGAGCAAGGAGCATGCAATAGTAGACCTGTATTTACAGTAAATATCAAGTCACTCTTTGGTTCCAGTTTATTGCTGTGGTGGGAAATGATACCCACTGCATGCCAAATTAGTTTTAGCTTTGGATGTTCCTTTATATTATTTGCTCTCCACTCCCCACAGATTCATAGAAGTAAGAACAAATGGAAGTTTCACCTCAAAGATGGAATCATGAATCTTAATGGAAGAGATTATGTATTTTCCAAAGCCATTGGAGATGCAGAATGGTAAACTTTCTTACACAAAACAAAAACTCAAAGTGAAAGCACGAAAAGTTGAGACTCGGACATACACTTCAACAGAAATATGTATCTGGACACCAGAAAGAAATAGTAGAACTGAGACTACTACCCTAGAACAAAAGAAAAGCATGATGATGTTGACACTACTTCAAATGGGAAAGCTGAGGCATTGGTGCAGCTAGCTATGCCCAGAAGCTGGTTTTGTATTAATACCTTAATTAACCACTTCTACCTATAGATAAAGGTAACTAGCATGTAATGCTTAATCCCCCCTTCCACTGATTTGGAGGAACTCTTCTTTTTGGTAACAGTACTATGGAAAAAGCTTAGTGTGTCTTTGTGTATAATTTGTGCTGCACCATTCCCTTTGGGAGTGGGGTTGGTAAGAATCTTGCTTAAACTGTGTGCAAGTTTCTAACCAATTGGTAAGGACTGAAGCATTGAGTTCTAATTACCTTGTATGAGTAAACTATTTTTAAATCTCTTGTGCTGGGTCATGCATAATTTTATCTACAGTTTTGGGCCTTTTATATGAATTTTGATCCTGGTACCAAAAGATCTCATTTGTATTTCAAATGTATTAAGTCTAAATCTTCCTTTTAAAAGGATGTAGTACTTTAAAGGGGCCTACAGATGGAAGCTGTGTGATGTCTCAGTCTCCCTGTTCTCTTTGAAAAGGTCCTTAAAGGAGGATTGAACAAAGTTAGTAGTCTGTTTGTGTGCTGAATTGCTAGTCAGAAATCAGTCTTTTAAAAATTCCACTGGTTAACTTAATGTATATTTCTATTGCCAAGTAAATGTGCACTGCTGGTGATGAGATCAGAGGTTATCGGTGACTATGCATTTTGGTCTACTGCATGGAAAGAGCTTCCAGTTTTCTTTTCAGTGATTGAGAAAAAGAATTGACTATATTGAACAAAATCACACTTGCTCTAAGAATTCAAAAAGTAATAATTTCAATAGCAAGTAGTTGCTGTTGAAGAAATTTTTCTCTGTAGCAACAGTTTTTGAAAATCAGGCATTCAGGAATGCAGTTGAGGAAGGGGGAGGGCTGAAATGTAGCCATATTAAGGAAGATGGTTTATAATTACAGGATATGCATTCATGCCAGCCAACCAGCTGAAAGCAGTGCAAGCCAGGAAAGTGTGAGTTCACAAATGGGGACTGATGGCAGCAGTTAACTGTTTGCCCCATTTCTAATACTTCTATTCTTGTGGAAAATAAAACTTCTGGAGTATTTTTATTAAACAAAATTGCAAGTGCATTTAATCAGCAACTAAGTACTAATTCATTTCTTCCCTTCCCAAACCATGTTGTTTGTATTTTAATTCAAATGCATCAGTTTCTGCTTGCAGTAAATCTTTAGAACCTTGCAGTGAGCAGTTAGGTTATGCTACTCCCAACTTGTTGCTAAAGCCAGCCAAATTTGTTGATTTTGTTGTTTAGTGACATTTGTAAAACATCTGAATTTTTGTACTACATAAACATAGTTAGGCATTTCACTTTCTGTTCATCTTCATTGTTTTCTGATCCTGCAAACTTGTGTGGGTGCAGTTTTGGCTCTGGACTTGAAAATGTGCGTAAGTAGATAAATTCTCTGGGTAAAATCCAAATTCTACTTAAGATAGAACAGACCCACTGAAATGGATTGTTCTAAGTAAGATGTATGTTGGATTTTCCTAATGTAGAAAAGTTTTAAAGAAACACACCACTACTTTACATGCCATGTTTGTGACTACATTGAGATCAACTGTCATTTTCCCTTGCATTCTTCTGTATCTCGTGGCCTGTTCACAGTATATCCTGGCCTTCTAGCTTGATTTAGTACAGACTTAAAACAGAAATACCACACTGTGAAACCCAACCAGGCTACAGTTTTTTAATCATCATGCACACTGAATAGCTGCTTGTCTGTAGCCTTTTTACTTTAGAGGATACCACAGCTTTAAAAGTGACTTATAGATAGGTCTATATGGAAGCAAATTAATTTTAGATATGCTTTGGTTGATGAGGGTATTAACAAAAGGACCTGTGAAGTTCTTCTGAAAGCCAGTCACATACCAAACTTGTGCTCTTACTTGCTTCAAGTGTTCCTTTTTTAAATCAAAAAGCATGTTTTTAATTTCATTTTATTGTAGCAGCTTGCTGTAAGAATAGTTTGCTTACACTTATTATTGTACTTGAATTTTAATCATGGTTTTAACTGTAATTGAACAAACCATTTTGTTAGGTTTGCATTGAAATTATCATTCCTTTTGTGGGAGGGCTAGAGATTCCCATGGTTAGTCCTTAAACTTTACATAGAGTTGATTTTTTCTTTTCCTTTGGTGTAGACTTGGAATTTTCATTTAAATAGTTCAGTATCTACTTTTGAAGCAATTAACGGTTTGCAAGAAGGGCTTATGTTTAGATTTGCACAGATAACAGGAGCACCTTTTAACTTTAATATGAGAAAATGCAGAAAGCAACTAAATACTGATCAGGCTAAGGAGAGATTTTCAGAGTAACTACACAAAAGTCAGAGTCTTGTGCCTTTGCAATCTTCAGATATTCCTGCTTTGTGTTAATAATGATATCTAGGACCATTGGATTTACTTGGCAGATTTTCTACAGAGCTTTCATTTGTGACTTAACATCATACTGGCTTTCTAGAACGTGCAATCATTTGAAACATCTACATTAAATGTTGAGGTTTTAGATACTGTCACAAAGAACTTTATATTGGACTATTTAAATTTTATGTGTAAGGTGTTCCCCACCACCACCACCCTGCTCTGTGTCTAGCAGCAATCCAAGTTTCCATCTCCCTTGTTTTTTCTCATCAGACATCTCTCTGGAAGTTGATCATGATTTCATGAAAACAGATATTGTGCTTGCTGTATTCTCAAGGGGATAAAACTTGTGATTGAAGCACAGTTGCTAGAAATAGCAAAGAACATGTAGCAATTGATATAACCAGACTTGCAGAAATGCCATTTTTAAAATAGTATTAGTACCACTGGGTTTTTCATTTCTGGTTTATTTACATCAAACAGCAATAATATCCCCATCAAATTACTTCTTTGTAAAACTGTAGTTCCAGTGCAGGAGAAAAAAAATAGCCATTTCATATGAACAAAATAGAATTTCTGCTTGAAAAAGTTATCTTGGTCTTGATGTTTGCAGAAATCAGCAAATAAGATAGCAGTTTATTTCAGTACAGCAGACTTTTCTGTTCTGCCTTAAATGTGGTTTAAAGTTGAAAGGAGAAGAGATTTTACTTCAGAGTTAAAATGTTAAAATCTCTTGGGTGTTTATCTTACCACATTTTTGAATGGGTCAGGCATATTGAGAAATCAAGCATTTTGCTTCTCTATGACAAGACTTGTTTACTATGATCACATTGTGAATTAGAGCAAAGGATAATTTTTTTGAGTAGAATAATAATTGCAGGCTATCCACATATGGGAACATCGCACATTCATTTGCTCCTGTGTGCCTAGGGTACCAAAACAATTTAGGGGAGTGGAAAATATCCTTAGTTGCTGTTCTGAGCTACTATTGTCAACTGCTGTTGTACATATACTGTTATGTGTAAGGGGGTAAATATATTTATTATGTTTGTAAAATTCAGTCTGTACAATTGAAGATCAAGGATGCTCTTCCTGGAATGTACAGGATGTGTTTCAAAGGCCATGCTTGGAATACAATTAGAAAACTTAGTATTTTGATGTACTAAGACCTATTTTAAGTTTAATATTTTGCCTTTGCAAAAAAATTAAAGATGTTATTTAAAATAAGCTTGCCATTTTTATTTACTATTTTGTGTATTAAAATATCCTTATGTGCAATCTAGTTGTGTTCAGTTTTTTGCAACATTATACAGATTAGAATTCTGAAAATTCTTAAGGAGTGAAAGACTCAACACTGCATCAGATCTGGAGAATAGACCGCAGGCTGGTTTTTACTGATTTTTCTGCTGAGCTGTTTAAACTGGTTTGACAAGGTATTACTGCTGAGCAAAACTTGTAAGATATATAGTTTGTGTTTTTATTTGAAGACACTCCTAAGTGTAGCATGTCAAATTTCATAGATTTTTTTTCTAGAAAATCCATCAAGTAAAATACCTTAGATATAAAATTTCTGGGGAAAATGGAAATCCTCCAAATATTTACCAAACTGTTTATAATTTTTTACAAAGAAGTATGTGTCATTAAAATATAGGTTCATGGAGGTGTAGCAGGACTGTGCTGTTTTTAGCCCTTCAAATTGCTTGGGTCTACAAATGTGAAGAGCCCTAGCTATGTAGTCAAAAGCAAGGGACCACGGGATTTACAGTCCTAATTTGTCTACCCCAGGCTTAAAGCCATAGAACCCATGATAGTTTAATTTTGAGATGTAGCTGATTTGGCGTGGATCTTGCAAAGTCTTTAATGATAAGTAATTAAGGGACTGGAAGATGAAAAGAGTCCTAAGGTTCTTACTAGCATATATATTGGACATATGTGCTAATATGCACTGATTACATGTACATGAGTTACATCAGATACAGGAAGTATGACAAGATCTTTGGCAGAGCCATCCTGTGGCCCCTAGACTTTGTCATAAGCAAAGGCAGGCATAGGGTTCTTCAGATGGCTAGTTCCAGGGTTGGAGACAGCTCCAGCCTCACAGCTGAGAATCTGGTAGGATCCCACTTCCCCGCTTCTCATAGCTGGCACAGGAAAAACTGTAGTCCACTTCTCCAAGTCAGAAAAGCAACCTTGGAAAAGGAGTAAAGAGGGCATGCTGGGAAGGGGAGGAGATCAGGATGGTGATCCAGACTGCTTCCCTCTCTTTCCAAGGTAGCATACCTAGCTGGTTGAAATCAGCTCTTTAGGGATCTTGTACTGTAAGGAACAAGAAAGTGGAGATCAACTCTGCCATTCCCCCCTCTCTGCTTATGATGCCTATAAGCCTCTTGAGTTCAGAGGCTTATGAGGATTCCGTGTGTAATCTAATGAACACAGAATTTTGTTTTTGTTTTATTCAATTACATCTACAGCTCAGTTTTTTGGTCTGCAAGTTGTTGCTTAAACATACTTCAGGTAAGAAAGGAAGACCAGTCAGGTTCACACAGTACAACAATCCCTTGGCTTATATCATGTAAACCCATGGTCACTTATTCACGGTGGTTTACAAGCCCAGCAGGCTCTATGCTGGGTCTTAGCCACTCAGAGCTCGCTGTGTTATTCAAACTTGATATTTAATCAGCAATCAAGTAAAATAAACAATGAATTAGCATGTCTGTAATTTTCCAATAAAAACTACAAAATATCTAAATGATGGTATGCAAACTAAGGTAATTTACATCTGAATTTTTAGCACTAGAAAATCTTCAAATGAGCTAGTAGATTTGCCTATACAAATAAGCCTAGTTGGATAAAGTTCCTGAAACATTTCACAATTTGAAATCTTCTGAAATCTCTACTGAAAGGGTTCCAAAATGCTTTTTTCAGGAAATGGTTGCTCTGATTCGGTGAAAATTCAGAACCCAGTGTATTCTCCCTTCAGTTTCTCCAGAGCTATTCTTGTTCAAGAAAATGTTTACAAAGTTTTCAAATTTCTGCCTGCTATCAACATGAGTAGGGTATTCTCATTGTTTAAAAACAGTTGGCAAGAGCCAAAAGGAAAGAGAATAGCCTGTGGCATTTCAAACATATTTGTAGTATCAAAGATTATACTACTTTATTCAGGACAAGAATGATCTTGAGAGCAACTTCCTTCACACTTGTAATTTCTTACAGTTGGAAAAACCACTAGGATGGGCTGAATATCTGCAGCTGGAAAATCTCATGAAGAAATCATTAATTCTGCTCAACTCCAAGAACAATCAGGTGATAGTTTGCAGGAATGTTTCCTTCCCCATAGGCATTCATATTCTCTCATGAAATGTAGTTGCTTCGAATTATGGAATACTGTTATAGAGAAAATTGCTAAGATGGGGAAAAACAGGGCAAGGGAACCAAAGATGACAGGTTGCTTACCTGTAATTGTAGTTCTTCAAATGATCATCTCTGCATTCATACATATGGGCTCTGGGCAAGCATGGAGCCTAAATTCAGGAAGTTTCTGCAGCTGAGGAATATTTGATGGGAATCCTGCACTGCACATCATTGCTGGATTCCCGTGCATTCCTTCAGCCTGTTGTGAATGTTGGTACCAGGACTGGTACCCTTGGAAATGACATCCCCATGGGCTTGATGGTGATACCAAAGCGGGCCAGTGGGTGTGTTGTGCAAATGCACAGACCACCACTTGAAGAAGTAAGCAAGTCACAGGTAAGCGACCTTTCTTCTTCATCTCTGCGCGTAATGCATATGGACAGTTGACAAGCTGACTAAAGCTTGAAGTCACGACTGTGGATTAATTCACATATAACATGCTGGAAACTGCACAGGCATGGCCTGTTATGTCTGAACCTAGCATCCATGGTGAAGCATGGTATGTTTGGTTTCCATGAAGCCATGCAGAAAAACAACACTTTGTAGTAAAACTTCTGTGCTTCACCATGACTTGTTAGGTGTGAACCCAGTTACAATGTTTCCACACTCCATCATTTTTTTTTTTGCTGTCCTGTTCTGCCTAGCAACTGCTGAGGCAACGGCACTCTGATTGGCTGCTTCATGCCATTTCCCCCCCCCCTCTATTTAGCATTGTCTTCCCATTGCCCAGCCACAGCTTGGGAATACTGGCAGCAGGAGGGCATAATGCCATGGTGTTTCCAGCAACTGCAGCCGCGGAGGCAGCCATGCTTGGGGATCCAGTCTGGTTTCGTGCACTTTGGTGGAGCAGTGCTTTGACATGGCTGTGTGGTGGTTCTCCTCAGGAACCAGCATCCTCCGGTTGTGAAGGCAGCTTTACATGAGAGAAGCACATGACTGCATAAGCATCACCAGCAGGGCACTTGCCCTGAGAAGCCCAGCTCCCATACTCCTCACCACTCCTGTCTTGACCCTGGACTATGAACAAACCCCTTTGTCCCCAGCACCGCCACCACAGCTGCGGGACAAGTTCCTTCAGGCCGGCTGGAAAACTTTCTCAGGGCAAGGCACACGTGTGCTCCCATGGGAAACTCCTCCCAAAAGGACATGCCGCCTCCATCCCAGGCAGGGGAGCCCACAGTGATCTCCTTGCTGGCCCCCGACAGTGTGTGTGAGCTCTGCGTATGGATGAGGGCCGCAGGGACACTTGTGCAGCGAAGCGAGGGGACATTGGTGGTCGTGCTTGCACAGAGCAGGGCAGTAGCAGGGAGCATTCTTGCAGTGCTCCTCCGGAGCAATAGAGCTCCTGTGCTGAATAGGTAGTTGCTTTGCAGAGCAGCAGAAAGAAAAGCGGGTGGGGAAGCAGCCAGCGGAGGCCACATGCCGGGAACATGTGGGCCAGTGAGAGTGAGGCAGGCAAGGAAGGCAGAAGTGGGATTGATTCTCAGCTGCAAGGGCTGATATGATACACGCCACCATTTGGAGGGAAGATGGAGAAGCATGGAAACCACCTGAGTCTGTGAACCGAGGGCACAGTGGTCATTCTGTGCAGTATCTGTGCAGCATTGTTTAACATTGTGTGTGGTCACAGTCAGTGAGATGGAAAGACTAGTCTGCTCTGGCTCTGACACCCATGTGGTGGTGTCTGATGAAAGTGCACAGTTGTGACCATGTAGTTAACTGACAAAGTTTGGTTAGGGAAACACAGGTTGAACGAGCTTGGATCAGAGCATCACATTCAAACTTTGTAAGGTGACAAGGTAAGAGCATGGTCTGGACAACCCAGAATGAAAATGTAATAGAAAGCCACCAGAGAGTCCCTGTTTCCCAGTCAACTGGGCAAAATCCTACCCAGAGTTTCCCTGGTGCCTCAGCTCCTGGACCAGACACCGGATTCAGCACATGATGGACCCAATCTTGGGTGGGGGGGTATTAAAAAGATGAAACATAGGTGTGGGAGGTAATAAAACATAAAGGCTAAATGGAATAAAATAGGGTAAAATGTGGGAAGGGAGAGGGAAAGCCTCAAGAGTACAATTCACAGCCAAGCAAGTACCCTTGATCCCAAGGCTTTGCTGGCCCACTCGGATTAGAAAACTCTAGCCTCAGCTAGACCCAGAAACTCTACCTCTGACAAAGGCAGGATGCCCAGGGCTTCACAGCATTCTCCAACATAGGTAGCCACACCAGCAAGGAGGAACCAAGAGTCTCTCTGTTTCCCAGTCTTTCCCAGGAAACAAGAGTCCAGTCTTTCTCCTCCTGTCCTACCGCTGCTCAGCTGACCCATGGGGTGATGGCTCATCTCCCAGTCCTTGTCACCAGCCATCTACTCCAGGTGCCAGTTGGCAGTTAACCAGTCCTTGCTGTTATCTCCAGTCTCCCTCAGGCCATAATTTCTGATAATGCCTCAAAATACATCACAGAGGGAGGAAGATGCCTCCCATGACCTTGGATGCCAGGTTCCTGCTGAGCTGACATCTGGATTTATAACATGTAACTGTTACAGCTCCCTGTGAGTCCAAGGGCTATTTCCCATTACAGAAAAACCACTGGGAAGAGTCAAGAATGCCACTGTTCCACTCTCCATAACAAAGAAAGGGTCATGGTGACTTTCTGACTTTGCTACTTTGTAGAAAGTGAGACCCTGTCTAGTATCTCATGTATGCACAGTCACTTCTAATGGTGAAGGTGAAGTGGGAAAGAATTCAGGTAGTGCAGTGTCTTGGTTCTCATGGAGGTAGGTAGGAGGGCAATATCAGAACACAGAGCAAACGTCTCTCTGTGGAAAGCCATGTAGAGAGGGTCCGCATGCAAGGCACAAAGCCAAA